CTCATTTGACAGATTCCAGTTATTTGCGAAGGGATGCATACCGAAAGAGAATCATATTTGAGTCCTGCAGCTTTCTCTGGGATGCAATCCGTGGGCTATTTCTGCTATTAGCATCAGCCCAGTTGTCTGCGAAAATACTCGGGGGGTGCCCGACTGAGTGAGAATAGTAACGGTAGGCTGTGAAGCTTGACCACCGTCTTGGAGCCGAAAAGCGCTGGCTTTGGCCCTGGCTCGGCTGAGGTCACCAGATACGACACCTATTGCCTGGGAGTCTTGGTGAAAATCATGAGGGGTTCCACTTGAGCAACCAATGAGGTTCGCCAGGCTGCCGAAGGGGTTTGGTTTCAGCTCCCATGCAGCCCGCTGCCCGCCACCGCACCGGCAAAGGCACCACTTGCGAGGCCGACCGCGACCTGTACTGGTGCTGCGAGCGCGGCATGGCGACTTGTCAGGAGGCAAAAGCCGGAGCGATGGAGGGAGGTTTGGAAAGTGTTTCAAAGCAAAAAAACAGGGGCTAATGACAAGATAACCGTCTCCTTGACAAATTCATTGTGGCCTTTGCGGGCTCTTGCTGAACGGATGACGGAATAGTCTGAGAGGCTGAAAGGTGGCATCCAGAGCTCTATTACACATGGATTCTGGAGAAGTCTGCTTACGTCAGCACAGATTGACCAATCGCAGACATCTCAGCAAACGATTCTTGTAGAGTCCGTGGCTTTCATACCAAGGACATGGGACTCATACCAGGCAGGGTTCCATTTGTGGTACCGATTTTTGACCCCGAACTCAGCCCATGAAAACCGAATGACTCATCCAGCCGTTCAGTCCGGATGCCCAAGCGGGCCGTTGAGCCAAGGCGCTGTCGCACTACAGGTTCGTGCCCCTGGATCTGAGGCAGTCGGGCTACACGGCGCCCGGCCCCAGGATCTTCGAATCGGGTCGTTCGCGCTCCGATGCGAGAGACAAACGTCCTTGAACTGCGACAGGTTGAACGCCCATTTTGGGTGGCAGGATTTGGGACGCTAGAAACGAGCAAGCTCAGAATTGAAGGCCAAGCATCAGAAGGCATGGGAGCGCACACAGAGACATCGATGGATTCTAAGATATTTGTTTCAACATATTTTCGCACCAAGTGCAGCATGCATGTTTGCGGGATTCTGCTGCGGGCCAAAATGACGGGTCGTCCAATGATCATGCCAATGTGGTTCACCATGGGCCAGATTCATGATGCGCCTGTCCACAGAAGCGCCCACTGGACCATATCCACCTTTGCGCAGAAATGCAAGACACTGCAACACAGTCTTTCTTCCTGCCCTCTTTGCTTGAAATGCGAGCTTTCCCAATGTGCAATTGATGCAGTCGGTGTGAGCATCCAAAACTCGGCATGTTGGATATCTTGTGATCTTCCCGCAAGAGAGTCATGTTATGCCAAGCCAAAATCCAGAATAGGCATCAAACAGCATATTCCAAGCAGTTGGACCGCCCACAGCCACCCGTGGGACGGACGAACTCCATTTTTAAGTGTTTTTGTGGGGGGGGGGGGTGGGGGCCCAGGGGCGGGGGGATGATTGCGTCACTTCTTCGATTTCGGTTGGCAAGAACTTCATTTTTTCTGTTTCTGCTGTGCGATGCTGTGCGTTTTTATTGGTGTGGTGTGTGTGTGTGTGTGTGTGGGTGCGTGCGTGCGTGCGTGCGTGCGTGCGTGCGTGCGTGCGTGGGTGGGTGGGTGGGTGGGTGGGTGGGTGGGTGGGTGGGTGGGTGGGTGGGTGGGTGCGTGCGTGCGTGCGTGCGTGCGTGCGTGCGTGCGTGGGTGTGTGTGTGTGTGTGTGTGCGTGTGGAAGATTGGCGTTACTTGATGGATTCTTTGCTTGTGTGCTGAGCTGTCTTGTTTTGCTGTGGCTCCTTGTGCCCAAACCATGGTGTCAGAAGATGTTCGTCTAGCCCTTGCCTTCATCATTTTGCTGCGTCTAGCTGGCATCTTGCCACGCTCGGTGCTGGGTCCTTTTTTCGCAGTGTGGCTGCCTTACTTGGACGTCTCTTCCGGACGTCGCGCGTGTCAAGCAGCGGACCCCGTCTTGTCCTTTGTGTCTGCCGTCACGGCGTGCGACATAGATTTGCGCTCGACTTTTCGGCTTTAGGCGCTTACGTTCCTTTATTGTGATCCATTTGGTGTGCGGCTTGGGATCGTCAGTATTCAACTCCGGCGTGGGCTTTCCGTGGCTCAGTTTCATGAGGCAGTGGGCGTGGCTGTGTCTACGCTGTCCGCACATATCGAAAGCAATTTCGCTTTGCCCGCGTCACGCCAATCGCACTGCTTGAAACACCGAATGAACATATCGCGAAACGTGATTTTGCGCTTTACTCAATCTTTGGCGTCTTGCGTTTTGGTTATATCGGGCACAAGCAAACTCAACCCTGCATGGAAGTGAGTTGGCAGCGTGTGTGAGTCTTAATAGAAAGCGTTACTTGCGCGTGACTCATGGCATTTGCTTGCACAACTTTGTGTATGGCATAGAGACCCGCCCGGACTGCATTGGCCTTTCAGCCTTCCTTCTCCATTTCTCTTTCTATTTGTCATTATCTGTCTTTCTTTTTTTTGTTCCCTTCTTTCTTTCCTTCTTTTCTTTCCTCCCTTTCTTTTTTCCTTTTTTTTTTCCTTTCTTTCTTTCCTTTCTTTCCTTCCTTTCTTTCCTTCTTTCTTTTTTGTTTTCTTTTTTCTTCTTCTTTCTTTCTTTCTCTCTCTCTCTCTCTTTGTCGCTTCCCCCCTGCATGACGTGAACTTAATTGACGCAAACTGATTGTATATGGCGCCTGGCTTAGCTTGTCAGCTTCAGTGGAGCCGTTGTTTTGTGGGTCAGGTGGTTCAGATGTCGGACTTCTACATGTTCAACCAGCAGGTGGAGGTGGATGGTTACACCGAAGCGAGCCTCGGCTGCAAAGAGGGTGAGGTATAGGCCATTTGAGTCTACGGGTTTTGCCACGGTTTGTAACTTTGGCCTTGGCTTTGGCTTGGTTGTGCTTCGCTGCGCCAGCGAACAGCCTCCAAGGGTCTTCTACTGCGATCCTTGCGATACACCGGTCAACGGCAGGGAGGATCCACCCAACTTGGGAGACAAGAACACAGACACGAAGTGGCTGGACTACACGAAAAATCCATTTTATGTGAGGCGCGGAACCAACATGATCCAGTGTGGCATGGCGCGGGCAAAATGCCTTGTTTGTTTAGTCGACTTCAAAGCCCTAGTTGGTGGAGCGAAGCAGGTCCAGCGCCTACCCTCTTCTCGGTTGATCATTTGGCAAAGCCTCCTCAGTACCAGTGAGGCAATGGCCTTTCTAGAAGATACGCTGGCGGCCTAGCCTCCATTTCACAGTCCCTTCAGGCTGCCGGTGGCACAGCCGGTGTTTAGCTACAGCTTCGTGACGGGCAACGACGAGCCCATCCGCGATCCCTGGCTCTGGCAACTCTGGGGCTCGCCCAACAATGTGGACTGGGCGGGGGGCCGAGAGCCGGTCGAAGGTTTGGGGGATGATCTATGGGCGAATGGCTGAAAGGTTGGGCAACGGGGGAAGGGGGTGAAGGGGGAGGGAGGGAGAGGTTTGTTTGGCACTTGCTTCCTTCGAGGTCCAATAGATGTGGTGCTTCCAAGCATTGCGCCATGGAATGTGATCTACGGGATTGGCCCAGCCTTTTCCTGCCTCAATCCTCGGGTTGCTGTTGAAATGCATACTTGCCTTGCAACCTTAGCCCGGCTTTGTGCTCCACTTGCTGAACTTGACCCTACCAAGTATCCATTTGGTGCCCCGGGTCAGGTGTTTGCGGCTCCATCTTTCCAAAGTCCCTTTTGAAAGCGAGAGTCTTTCGATGACGCGAGCGCTCGCGATTGACACGCCAGGTGATCCTCCACGAGGTCAGCGACCGCAACCACGACTTGGTGCCGCTGGACCGTATGACCTCCACGGCCCAATTCCTCATCGAGGTGCCCTGCTTCGCGCCCTCCGGGCTCTTCATCGACAACGCGGCGCCTCGGACGCACGGAAGGTGATGCCGAACACTGGCTCGGGACACAAGTCTGGAAGTGGTGCTCAGCGATTGGGTGCCGGTCATTTGTTGCTGTTGGTGGCTTTACCACAACAATATGCGGAATTTATACGTAAAACATATGTACAGGATGTGCCATGTCATAGTCACAATATACACGTATTTCTTTTTCCCTTCGGTGTCACTCTGATCCGAGGCCAACGTCACCTGCGAGGAGGGTGACCTCATCCGGCACGGCACCAACTGCACGCCGGCCTGTGAAGTGGGCTTTGTCCCCGACACGGAGGCGCTGACCTGTCTGGATGGCGAGCTGAACCCCATCAACTCCTTCGCCTGCAACTGAGTGGCGGCTCACGAGGGGTCGGGGCCCCGGAGTGGACAGTTGTAAGTCTTCTTGGATGCGTCACTAGCACGAAGCAAGGTTTGGAATCCGCGGGTTCTGGCTGCTGGAAGGTGTCCCCAAAGTGGGCGAACCATGACGTGTGCCAAGAATGGAGCTCATTTGATTTGTCCCAGATTTCTGCTGGAGCTGTGGCTCTAGCTACCTCTAGCGCTTCTTCCCCTGAAAGAGAGAAAGAGAGAGAGAGAGAGAGAGAAAAATAATCTGCATCCGGAGGTTTGTGGAGGATTGGCAGGCTTAAGAGGCTGGGGCCTAGACTCACCAACAAGTCGGCATGCCTGGGGCCTTGGGGCCTTGGGGTAGCGCGGCTGCGCGGGCCAGCGGCGCCAAGCGCCCACGCTCCCCATGTAAATGTACCCGCCAAGTTCGCGGCCAGCCCAGCGCCGCTTCCAGTCTCGATAGACGCGCAGGGCCGAAAAAAGCAAAAGAAACAAAAAACGGGGCCGCGTTTGGCCGCCGGAGTTCGCCGAACGGATGGAGCATGTCGCACGCATGGATCGAGCCAGAGCGTCGGCTTGGCTGCTTGGCTTCTTGGCTTTGGACGCACTGCCGTTCAGTCAGGTGGGGCTTCGTGACAATGGCAGAGCCGAGCCTAGCCCAGGCCGCAATCACAGCCTGAGCCTCAGCTCCATGCAAGACGTGTAGTGAGACAGCAACCATGGGGTGTTCCAGGCACTTTGGGCTTCATACAACTCCAGGGATGCCTGGCTTTGCTGGATGGGGAATCTGGGAACCCAGTGGCACCCAATTCGGTTTGAATGCCTGAAAGCCACTGTTTGATCCAGCCAGCGAGGAATGCACACACATGCCGAGGCGCTTAATGGCAAAGTACTGAGCGTGGCAAAGCCAGACAGTGACATGCAGGCGGGGTTGAGGGAGAGAGCTCCTGCCGTTGCCATCGAACACTTTGGGCGGTTGATATATGTTTTGCTTGCATGTCGTGTCAAATGTGCCGTACTTGGAATGCACTTTAGGCATGGTTGCCTCGTTTCATTGCGCACTTGGTTGCTCAATTTGCAGACTGTACCGAATCCACAGCACCATGTTTTCCCTTGCACGCCGTGAGTTGGGTGTCGGCCACGAAGCGCTTGGCCTACAATCGGAGGTGACATGAACACAGGCTACGGTGCAGGATGTTCATTTGCTCCGATTTTTTTCTTTGTCGGCCATCGGTGCGCTGTGTAGCTCCGGCTTGGTGAGAAAACACATATGCCTATGTCCCCACGCGACACGCCACAAGACTTGGTCAGCCACCATTTGGGGATTGAATGAAAGCCATAGACCAGAGTGGGCCAAGGGCAAAAACGTACAGTTGAGATGGGTCATCGCACCGAGGCACAGACCATGCCACAAGGTGGGCCGCGTCAGTCGGTGTCGTCTTTTTGGGTGCAGGAAGCCATTACCAGGGGATGACACAGCAGGAAATCGGCGCAACATGCAGACCATGCCACATGTTTTCAAGGCCATGCCGGAGATATAATGCTTACAGTGTTCCAAGGTCGACTCCGAGCAAAGTGATTGATTGAAGACAATCAGGATGTTCTTTCGTCCTTTAGGAGTGTGTAGCAGGCGTGCAATTTTCACGGTTCATCGCAGGCGACGTGCAGATGACTGGCGCCCGGCTCCCAGGGAAAATTTCATGGCTGCTTTGTGGTAACATGGCATTGGGAGATTGGGAGAGTGCAGCTAAGCGCATCCCTCAGCTGGCAAGGCTGCTCCTTGGGGTGAAGCACACTACCAGGGCGGCTGCGATGGCTGTGGCGGTTGTGGCGGTTGTGGCGGTTGTGGCGGTTGTGGCGGTTGCGGCGGTTGTGGCTGTGGTTGTGGCTGTGGTTGTGGCGGTTGTGGCTGCGGCTGTGGAGGCTGCGGCTGTGGCGGTTGCGACTGTGGCGGCTGCGGATGCAGCGGTTGTGGCTGTGGTGGCTGCGGCTATGGCTGTGATGGCTGCGGTGGCTGTGGTTGTGGCGGTTATGACTATGGCAACTGCTGTGGCGGATGCTGCGGCTGTGGCGGCTATGGCTGTGGCTGCGGAGGTTGCGACTATGGCTATGAGGCTCCTGCCCTTGCCGGGGTGGCACCGCCAGAAGTGCTAGCAGCACCGCCCGCCCTGGCCGGGGTGGCACCATGTTCGGCGCTTATTCCGGAGGCGGGCGAGCTGTTTGTTCGTTCGTTCGCTCGTTGGTTTCTTTGTTTTTTGTTAGCTTGTTTGTTTGTTAGCTGTTTGGTTTCATTGAAATGACGCAACTAGGAGGCTTGAGGTTTCGGACATTGACAGGTACCAAAGCCGCCGCCAGCAGCACGGCCAGCAGCACAGCCAGCAGCACAGCCAGCAGCACAGCCAGCAGCACAGCCAGCAGCGGCTCCGCCAACTGTGCAGCCATCAGTGCAGCCGGCAGAGCAGGCCGCCAGCCTCGAGGGGAGCCTCTCGAATTGTGTTGCCAATTGGGAGGATGGGTTGCTGGGCTCATGCAAACATGCCTGGCAAGAAACCAAGCAGTTCTGAGAGTGCTTGAAGTGTTGGGCAGGTGTGTGTGTGTGTGTGTGTGTGTGTGTGTGTGTGTGTGTGTGTGGGTGTAATGTTCGCTTGTGGGATGCACAGACAAGAGCTCGCCTCACCGAAACTGCGACAGAAGGGCGATGCCCTATGCCCCATGCTGATTCTGTCGAGTGAGATTCATTTCAGACGTCTTCAGAACAAACATGGCCATCGCTGTGAGATTTGTTTGCGGATGCAATGAGACAATGACAGGGAGTGCGTGCCTTTTGCCCCTGGCAGTTGTTTGTGGCAATTCTTTCGGCAGGCGTCAGCCGCGCAACCTCCTGTGGTGCAGCCAGCAGAGACGCTGCCGGCAGCAGCTTTACCTGCGCCGGAGGCAGCGTCACAGCCATCTGCAGCAGAGTCAGTGGCGCAGCCACCAGCTGTGCTGGCAGTTGCGCAGCCACCGACAGAGCAGGCGGAAGCATGTCATTGTAGTGTCCAGAACACAGCGAAGAGAAGATCTTTCGCTTTGCTAGCGTCGGAGCTTTCTGTCTTTTCCCCGACTTTGCTTTGTTGTGGCCATCACTTGAAAGCCCAGGTGAATGGTGCAAGGTATCGGATTTGAGCATTGATGCCTTGGGCAGGCGCCAACGGTGCAGCCGTCGGAGCCAGCACAGCTGCCAACGATGCAGCCCGAGCAGGCAAGCGTCTTGCTGGCAACCAACGAATGATTAAACAGCCAAGTGTTGTTTCCGCATTCTTGCAGCGTGAAGCGATTTGTCCAAATTCTGTGCGACTGCCTATTCAGAACATACACGACTCTGTCGCACCTTCCCAGTATTGGTGATAGAACCAGACTCCTTCGGCAGGCGCCCCCGGCACAGTCGTCGACAGCGGCAGATGCACAGCCGCCAGAGCAGGCGGAGCGCGGATGGCATGTAGCCTGTGCAGTGGTTGGAACGGAGCCATGTTTTCGGCGGCACCTTGAGAGGGTGGTTTGCTCCTTCGGACGCATTCTTTGATGGAGACGGCACTTCGTACAGGCTGGAAGGGGGGGACAAAGCTTGTGGCAGGCAGCGCAGCTGCCGACACAGCCACCAGCAGAGCAGGCGGAAAACGGAGTGGAAGGGCCCTGTCTGTTGGACAGACATGCTTGTGATGTTTAGCAAGCCATCAAAACACATATTTCAAGTTTAGTGACACCTACACCCCGGAAAACGAGGGCTGGGACGGCAGTTGCTCGGGGCATGGCTGATGAGTGGTTGCACACTTGACCAATAGCCACAGCAAGCTACACTCAGGTGAACCGTACATGGTGGCCCATGAAAAGCGCAAATGTCACATGGGGTCCTGCTCCAGTTGTCCATCTTGCAACGTTTCGTCTTGATAGGTCGTCAAAGCTTCCGCCTGCTTGAAACAAACGGAAAACAAACTGTTGTTTAAATTTCGCTACGTTGCATTTTCCTGTGAAGCGGACTTTGTGTCACACCTTAAAAGCAACAGAAGCGGGACGCCTCTGGCAGAAACGGGACAGCGAGTCTTGACAGGCGAAGCCTGAGGAGCCGGCAAAGTGACGAGCGCCAGGAAAAAAAAGAAGGGGCGCGTGGGCTTTGCCATGCGCGACGTGCCGAAACCCTAGTGATTGGTTGTGGCTCAGTCGAAACTTGGTTGCTTGATTGAGGGCGAGGCCATATACGGTGTAACTGTGGTTGTTTTGAAGAGTTTTCACTCAGGCAGCATTGGGCGTTTGACCAATCTGATGATGATGGCATGAGCGGCATGGCGCAGGTGTTCAAGGAGAGGACTGCCAGAAGCCCAGGAAAGAGGAATCCACGAGAGCAGATATTAAAGATACCTTGAGCAACGGAGAGATGTTGTGGCAACATGACTCTAGTCATGTTGTGACAACATGACCCTGGTCCTCACCCGGATGCAAATTATCAGATGTATGGCACAAACTGAAGATCAACGCTTGACTCAACGTTGGAACCGGGCCTTGGACCATTTGGCACTCATATGCCTGCAGGTGCTTGAAGGTGCTTGAAGGGGAGGGGAATTGCTCTTTTGAAGAAGTCCGGGCTTCAATCAAGGTGGACTGCAAGTGGATTTGCTAGAAAGGTAAGCTCGTTTATGCCGAGTGCTACAAACGTCAGAGATTCGAGAGTTGAACAGTCTTCTTGTTAAGGAGCGCTGCCGTTGTGGAAAGCCCTGCCAGCCAAGCTCCTGGGAGAGGGGCCGATTTGCCGGTTACCGCTTGGCAAGGGCGAAAGCCTTGGGGCAGAGATGGAGACATGGGATGCTGATTGATCGAAAGATCACGAGTGAGTTGACTTGGGGACACTTTTTGTGTAGTCAGGCGAGAAACAGGATGTGGTAACTTCAGCCGATGTTGCTTTGAACAGTCTACAGTTGAAGCATGACGTCGAGGTTGGATTCGCAATTCTGCACCGAGTGCGGGCAGAGTCTAAGCAGGGCACCTCAGCTCGCGTCCGGCTCTTCTCCACCCTTATGTTGGCCATCGTTATTTTGTAGTCGCACGGGTCCCTTGCGTTGCCATCAGATCACGAAAATGCAGATGTCTGGACGTGTGCGATGTTTGTTCGCTGGGAATGGGGAATCTGGATGGGTTGGTCATTGCAAAAAAAACCCATCAAACATCCCGAGAGGATCCATAGATGCTTTTAAGTGCCTGACGCAGTAGCAAGAGGCGAGCAAGGGTGTGGCCATGCCCGGACAGAGCGGATGGATAAAGATAATGTCTCTCAAAGAAGTGCAGACCCTGTCGCTCTCAAAGATCTTCATGTTCCCATGCTCAAGCTCGCCCTGGAAGTTTGTTCCTTTCGAGGACAAGGGCACGCAGGCAGACTGTGATCCAAGGCGCCAAGTGCGGCCGGATCCAGGCGGGCCGCTGCACGTCACTGGGAGCTGGTGAGCTTCGCAGCAATCGTTGCTCGTTTCGCGAGCGAAGACGGGTTCTGGAGGGCTCGTTCAACTTTCAGCACCTCGTTGCATTCGGCCGGGTGATGGGGGCCTGAGGAGTGCTGCCGTTGCGGCAAGCCGTGCCTGCGGGCCGCCCAGATCGTCAAGTGCAGTGAAGGGAGCCAACGGTCTTCGATGGTCGTGGCATGTTTTTGTTCTGCTCATTGCTGTGCAAAGCAATAAGGTCGGATGCGCAATACTGCACCGACTGTGGGCAGGGTCTCGGCCGGGTGCCCCAGATGTTCTTGATGGCTGGACGAAGGCCGGAGCAGCACTAAGCAAGTGGCCCAAAGCTACGAAGACAAACGTCCAGAGATCATCATCGCACCAAAGAGAAGACACCTGTCACTATACAGTTGTAGGGATTATTAACATCATGCTTAGTGACGTAAAGAGGGCTGGCCCTTATGATGCTGATTCTCGGATGCTCGATGTGCTTGCCACGCAACAAAATAAGACCCAGAAGCACCAGCAGGGAGGGCGCATCCTCGCAACCTGGCAATTCAGGTGTAAAGTTTGTGGTTGAACATTCCAACCTTTTGCCTACAGCCACTCACACATGGTGTAAGGCTGTCTTGCGCCTGAAAGTCTGTCAGTTGAAGCTCAGGCCAAAAGCGCAGCCAGAGCCAGGTGAGCCGCCCCTTGCACGTTGCTCCTGTCGTGTGGGATGTGCACTTGGAGCATGTCTTTGTTGCCGATTGCACCTCTTGCTTCGGTGAGCGGCGTGCCATGAAGCAGGGCACTAGAATGAGGCAATGCTTTGACATGCGTCATTTGCAAGAGTGGCTGCATGGTCTCTCACAAAAAAGACAGTTACGCACGCACACGCAGGTGCATCTGCATATGAAATCATGTGAATATGTATATGTGATACACACAATATACACTCTTCTCGACATCATCTACATAATATATAGATATATATAGTATATATATATATATATATATCTATATCGACATACGGGCCGGCTGATTCTTTCATCTCGGCCTTCCCCTAGCAGGTGGGGGTGAAGCGGCAGAAGAACAACACCAAGGCAGGGGCGTTTGTTGCCAAGGCTTTGTTGGTGCGTGCGAGATTCGATTGGGAAACCACGGTTTTGGTAGTTGACATTGCGTCGAACAAGGTCAAGTGGTGGGTGATGTGAGCTCAAGCTAGAGCTCTCAGATGGCTGACAAATTTGATCCGAGAGGGTGGAGTCTGGGCATTTGGAGGCAGTGGTGGTCAAACCTGCACCTCGAATGGCAGCAACTTGTGAAGAGTTGGCTGTGATAGCGAGCGTGATGGCATGGATGTTCTTCTGCCAGCCTGTGCAAGTCAAGCAATTAAGACCATTGTCTTGGCTTTTCGGGGCTGCCCAGAATCGATTGTGGCCAATCTAATATGTTTGTGTGCTTCCTCGCCAGTTGACGACGTGGCGATGCCAGTGCGCAGCTTATGCCTGTGCGAGTTTGTCATGCGTCTGGACTCACTGTCCTACAAAAAAAGAGAAGAGGAGGGCCATTTTTTTCTTCGTTTTTTTTTTAAAGGCATTTTTTTGTTTTTCAGGGCAGGTGGCTTTTCGGCTTTTTGGCTTTTGTGGCTTTTACGTGGGTTTTTGTGGCTTTTGTGGCTTTTCGAAGCCACATTTCGCATCCTCTGCATTCATAGTTCCTCTCTGTTTGTCTTTTCGCATCCTTTGCATTGCCAGTTCCGCTGCGGCAGCTGGCTTTTTGGCTTTGTGGCTTTTGGCGGCTTTCTGGCTTTGGCTTTTCGCATCCTCTGCTTTCCCAGTTGGTTTTTGGCCTTGGCTTCCTGCATCTTCAGCATCGCAAGTTCCTCTCGATTAAAATGCACGCCTAATTGAATCATCACTTTTTCGATCATCATGCGAGCCACTTTTTAGATTCTTTGTCCCCAGTTGAATCATCACGTTTTCGATCATCATGGGGGGGGTTGCCGCCCCCCAACCCCCCCCCCCCCCCGCTACTTTTTAGACGTTTTGCCCCTAATTGAATCATCACGTTTTTGATCATCATGGGGGGGTTGCCGCCCCCCCCAACCCCCCCGCTGCTTTTTATATATATATATATACACACACACACACACTTTTTTTGTCCCTAATTGAATCATCACTTTTTCGATCATCATGGGGGGGGGCTGCCGCCCCCCCCAACCTCCCCGCTACTTTTTAGACTTTTTGCCCCCAATTGAATCATCCATCACTTTTTTGATCACCATGGGGCCCCCCCTCCCCCGGCTACTTTTTGGATTTTTGGCAGAGATTAAAATGAACCCCTAATTGAATCATCACTTTTTCAATCATCATGGGGCCCTTGGCTTCCTGCATCTTCAGCATCATCAGTTCCTTTGCGCCAAGGTGGGTCGGCATTTATGTATGCCATGTTAAAAAGAGGGGCGGGTCCCCCTCATGATGGTAAAAGTGAGGATTCAAATACGTGCAAACTAATCCCTGTAAAACACCTAAAACATTCGATTTGCTGGTGATGCCGGGGATGTTGGCTGGACATGCGGGGGATGTTGAAAACGATGCCAATGATGTTGACGGACTAGCGCAAAATACGTACATTTCGCGAGAAAATGCTGTAAATTACAGCATTTTAGTAGCCAGGACGGAAAACAAACAAAAATCCAAAAAATAATAATATAAAATCCCAAATTAAATCTCGACCCAAAAAAAGATCTAGAACTGGAGCGAGGCAGAGCTTATGTTTAGGCTTGCTAGGCCAATGAAAAGCGAGGGTCCAACTCAACCGTTTCAGTGCTTGCCATTTGCCCAAAGTTGAAAGACATATTTTATCTATGCTCGTCACAATTGACTGGATGCTAGCTTCGGAAATGCTCAGGGTTCTATCCAACGCTGAGCAACATGCTCGTTCCACTATTCTGCTCGCTGGCCCAGAACCATTTGATGCTTTTTCCAGCCTGTGGCAACGTCATCCCATGCAAAAGTTGAATGTTTGGGTTCCCATGAACAGTGGGGCTCCCATTCATCATTGTTCTACTTTCCAGGTACAAACATGGTGTCGACGTTCGCGGCGAGCCAGCCATTGACGGGTGCCGGCCTTGAAGCTAGGCATAGGGTAAGGCCTAGGCCATCTGGCAGAGCGGCAGTGCGGGCAAGTGTTGGGCCTGGCGGACACCGGTCTGAAATTCTGAAACATGGTGAGTATCCAGTATTCATGATTCGCAGTACTTCTTTTTGCAGACTTAGCTGGACATTTGCCATGTGGGTGTGGGTCAAACATAAGCCACCAGACCGCAGGTTTTAGTCCCTGGTTCCATTTACCAGGGCTTCAGAAGTTTCTGAGGTTTCGGATGCCGCATGCGCTGGATCAAGGCGAAGAGTTGGGGGCCACAGTCGAGTCCGCCCGCGTTGGGCCGTTTGCAATTGGTGTCGTCTTGGGCAGAGACCTCTGCCCAAGCGACCCAGGCGATTGTCGGTCTTTCATTTTGAGCATTTGTTGAGCGGCCTTTGAACTTGGGGAAGGCTTGAGCTTACACTCAGAGTGGTAAGGTTCATGGTGGAGCGCGAGGAGTTGGGCAAGGACGGGATTCTGTACCTGAAGCTTGCGGATGGCCGAGGCACGACTCGATGTTCTCCGTGCGGGGCAAATGGCAGCTGGCGGATTTCATTTCTGTCGGATATGCAGTTGACCGCGTTCTTTTTGGTTGGCTACACAGTCTATCATGGTGCCAGCTAGCTCAATGTGATGCGAGTCCTCATCATGCATCTATTGCTTGTCTTGTCGACTTTCGCGCTCCACTGCATTCTGCAGGTGATGTCCGTGCCATGTCTTTCTTGTCTGGGCGCCGGCACATGATTGCTTTTCAGGCTGGGTGTTCGACCAGAAGCCCAACCTCGGGGTGATTTGTGCCCGCTGTGAGGCGCAGTGGCCTGCGCCGCGCCTGTCAATGCGACCAAACATGTCATGACTCGCAGGATCACTTTTGACCGAGTAACTGGCTTGATGATATCCGCGTTTTTTTTTTTCTCCCCCGAGGTGCTGGCTTACATTATGATTCATGATGGATGCCTTAAGCATTACAAGTAGGAGAGGATGTGCTTGGTGCACTTGCAATACCTAAGGCATCGGGCGTGCAAGGGACCGATCATGCTTTATTGACTGCACCAGCTGCATGGCTGTGTTCACTTGCATGGTTCTCAAGGAGTTTCCATGGGGAACGCCCCAAGAGCTGTTTGCTCTTGCAGGCACCGTCCAAGGCCAGCGGGAGGGGGGCACAGGGAAGTGGGCGCTTCCAGGGAGAGGTTGGTTTTCAGTTGTGAGAGGTTGGGCAGACGAGCCACTGGCTTGGTTTGCTCCGGTTTTAGGAGTCACCAAAGAAGACCTCGCTGCTGGTGGACTGAGACGTTTCATGACATGAGCCTTTGGAAAGGAAGCCTTCACAGCGGCCGGCTGCGCCCACGGTCCGTGCAGAGACACTTTGTGCGCGTGCCAGGAAAGCCGACGCGCGAAGTCCGTGCGAGAGCCGTCCCCGAAGTCGCCGAAGACTCCCAAGCAGGCGACGCACGGTTGATGGAAGACTTGGTGATGGGGACAAATTCCATTGCGGTGATTTCCTGACACTTTTTATGTGGGCAAGTTTAATCACAAAACAGTGGCAGACTCATTTAGCTTGGGATAATGCAGCAGTTGATTCTGGGCTGAGCCCACAGAGTCTGCTTTTCTTGTTTTGTCCATACGTTTTCCTCCGTTTTGAACATTCTCCCCTTTCCTCCCCCGCCCACCCCTCCGCTTGCCCCCTCCCCCCGTCCACTTCAGTGTTTTTTCCCGACACTTTTTTTTGCCTTTGTGTTTTTGAGTATGCCTTTTCTTTGAAGTTGAGTCTGTGTTTCTAGGCTTTTGTGGTTTGCTTTTCCAATTGACTATTTCTGTTTTGGGGGCCTCTTGGCCCTTGCAAGAAACACGTCTCTTTGCCGGGCTTTCCAATCCGGCCTTTCCTCTGGGCCGCAGGACCGGGGCCGCAACCAGCGGAAGGCGTGCGGGAGGGCTCGGCCGAAGCAAGGGGATGGCGAAGGTTTCCAGGCCGCTTTTGATTTATAGGAGTCATGTCCGCGCTTTTGGAGCAAATCTTGGCGGCTTTCCTTTCGTGCGCCCCCCCCCCCCGCCCAAAAAACCAAAAAAAAGCTAGATGGGCCGTTGGGAGAAAGTCTTGCAGGCGTCCATACTGTGCCAACAATCCCCAAGCTGGCTGGCTTGAGGGGATTCGCCTTGAAGCACATTCATCTCTTGGCAAATTGCTCCACCTCAAGATGATAGTAAGAGGTTCAAATGTTCTGGCGTGACTCAGTAGCAGTGCTTCGCCCATTTTCCTGGCAAATTCGGCCTCCAATGCGCACAAACCGTCTAATGGGTCTGAATTGAACACCTTCAACAAGTTTTTCTGTAGCGCGCGCAGCACTTGGGCTGCTCCGATCCCGCAAAGCGGAACCAGTCGGTGCGTGGCTCAAGACAACGCAGGCCTTGGAGGCGGCGGGCAAGGACGGGTGCCGTTGCATGTGTACTAGTTACACTAATTCTACGCGTATACAAAAACATATATATATATATACAGATATATATATATATATATATATAATATATATGTTCATGCACAGGTGTGCAGTATGTACCTGTGTATAGCTTTCTGGGTGGTACTTGAACCGCCACAATGCTCGTTTTCCTGCACGTTCAGGTTCGCCGTATATACATGCATTGCAGCGCTTGCGCTGCTTTCACCCAACAATCTATTCCCTGTAAAACGTAACCCTCCCTAACCCGGTGAACCCTACTCCCCCAAACCCTTCAATACTTTGCGTTGCTTGCGGTTGTTGCCGTCAGGCTTTTGCAGTTTGCTCCGGCATGCGTGTTCCCCGTTGTATGGCCCCATCGGTTGCGGGCCACTTGGTGTTCGTATGCCAGACACGATTTGCGATTGAATTTGATGTTGCCCAGATGCTGACGTCATGTTTCAGGAGACAGAGAAGAAGAGCCGGAGCCGAAGCCGAAGGAAGGATGACGAGGCGGGTGCAAAGGAACCTCAGCCTTGGTGTCCTCAACCTTTGGCTCTATTACTGGCCTGCGTTTCTGCTTTCTAATTGCTTTGCCACGTGCCACCAATTGTATCTCAGCACTGATTACAAGATCCCCAGCACCACAGTCCGCAACATCCCTATCATACAGTTCGATGAGCGCGCTCTCTTCAGGATGCAGAAAAGACAAGCTGGAGCCGAAGTCGGAGGAAAGACGGTGAGGCAAGCTCTAGATGCGGGGCAGGGAAGTGAACCGATCTACCTGCCACATGGACATGCAGCCACCTGGGTGCAAGCTTCTCTCTGGGTTTCCCTGGTTTCAGCAGATCGCAATGCACGCGCGGTCTTGGGAAGAGAACGAGGTGGTGGAAGTCCAAACCTGCCTTGCGTGAGAATCAAGTGCAGACCCGGAGTAGTTCCGAGGGGCTGTTGACAATCTATCATTTGGGGGATATCGAGGTATCACAAGAGGACGCCAAAGCCAGCAGACCGACCAACCGAACAGATACCAACCCATGATTTCGGTTCAAGCTATGGCGCCCCAATGTGCAGGACGGAAGCCAAGGAAGGCAGAAGGAGGCTGGCCGGCGCGATGGAAGAGATCAAGTTTGCGATGCCGTGAAATCGATCATTCGTCGCAGTTGTCGTTTGATTGCAGTTGGCCAGCAAGGGTTTAGGTCCTTTGCCGTTGGTTTCGGCCTCATGGGTGCAATCCGCCACGATCGGCGGCTTTTGTTCCTTCCGCCAGGCTCCTGCGCGGCGCTCCGAGCGGAAAGAGGCCCGGAAAGCGTTCACTCGGTTCCTCCCGGAGAGGCAGAAGCTGCTTGAGCTGGGTGGCCATTCGGATAGTCCCACGATATGTCGCTTCAGAATTTCGGCCAAACTATCTTCAGGAAGATCCGACTCAACATGGGTAGCCAACATGCCACGCTGCCAATCCAAACTGGCACTCCACTGCCTGCCAGCACTGGCAGACTGGTGCTCAGATTTTGCCGGATACTTCGCCAACCAATGTCCATGACGGTACAGACGTGAATAGAGAACTCATGCGGACAACAACCGTTCACCAACTCCATCACGCTCGAGCTCGGAAGCCCCCCTTCCGCGCACTGCACAGGTGGAGCGTCCACAGACTGCGGGACAGGCGCGGGTGCCCATGTGGCGTGTCATTTTTTTCGGTGCCTGGTTTTGAAAACATCGCCAACAACCGCCAACAAGCCAAAGGAAGTCGGAAGCACCGCCAAAAAGCATGGCCCCAATTTTGAGGTGAACCCATGTGCTTTGGATGCACGGCTACAACCAATTTGGTGCTTTGCACGGGTGTCTCGGGTCCGCGAGGCGAGCCGCTGCAACCAGAAGCGGAAGCCGAGACCGGAGGCCAGTGGTTTCCCTGCGACAGGGCGATCGCAGCGCGCACGGCAAACCAGGCCCGTGACTTGTTAGTTCACAGCGAGATAAAACAAACATGTCACTTTTTTTTGTGCAAATTACGAGGGAGTGCAAGACACTCGTTAACGCGGCTTTGTTTGATTGGTCTTTGCACGCTGAAGCACCGACACTACTTGCATCTAGAGTTGTCTTAACCGAAGGAGCCTGCGAGAGAGGGCAGAAGCCCGGGAAGAAAGGTGCCCTTGGAAAGTCCAGGAAGAAGGACGCAGGACTGCAAGGTTTCGTGGTTTGGCTGGGATGATCTCCCGGGGCGGCTGAGCTGAGCTTGGGCTGGGACTTCGTCTCTTGCATGCAAAGACGTCTAGTCCAACCCAGTTCACCGGCTGTGAACTTTTTTTTTCTTGTGTGGCCCATCCAGTGGGAAGCCGGTTAGGCGACTAAAGCGTTCGCGCCTTGCCGGCCGCGTGAAATTGGCTTGCCTTGCGAATGCGGCCGGCTGCGCAAGATCGCGGAAAGCTGCGGTGCAGAAGAACAGGCTTGCTGGCGCTGGGCAGAGCATGAGCCACACGACATGGGTCGTGGGAGGATTGAATCGGGGTTGGAGATTGTACTCCGCTTTGTATCTCCCGAACGCGTAGCAGAAGGGTTGGGTTTTGGGGGTTAGGACGTGACCAGGAACCGTTGCTTCCACAAACGCAAACGTCCAAGCGTTCTCCAAGCGTCTGCTATGTGACTATTCAAGGATTCCCGAAGTGTTGAATTCGTTGGGCCTGTGCGAGAATCATGTCTTTTGCGATGTTGCGTGTTGATTCGCTGCACAGGCAAAGTGTTTTGGAAGGCTGCGCGTTTGCATTGCTGTGTCTGAGGTGTCTTGATTGGCAGGTGCGTGCGAGCGCTTGCATGAGTGTCACTTTCGTTGGCCCTGCCGTGCAATCGGCTCGTTTTGGCAAGCTTGACATGTGTCTAATTCGGTCGAAATCATGCTGGCGCCACAGTCCCGCGCAAATTTTGGATGCGTGCCGTAAACGTGTCAAAGTTGGATTTCGTGACGGGTGCAGTACTTTGAATTTCGTGGCGTGCGATACTTTGGAGCTTTCGTGCAGATGTAGTGGCAGGCGCAGTACTTTAGCGCATGGGTGTACTGTCGCAGGCCGAGCTCGAGCCACTTCTGTTCTGTCGCGCACCGCAGCGGAGAATTGCGCTGCGGCTCGAGCGACAAACACTTGGACAAGCAAAAATTGTCTTGGCCAAGGGATACTGGATTCGGCCGTGACCCGCGACCGATTAGATCACATGCTTTGCCTTTTTGCATTGTTGCGGCAGATGTGCCGCGCGCCACGCCCTCGGCCCTCGAACCTTATTGCGCAGCGATCGTTGGAGCCTTCCACACAGTGCGCCGAAGTGCATTGCGCCCAGAAAAGGCTGGCTCTCTTTCGCGGAATGGCTAGGACGGGAGATAGGCTCGTGCTGTGAAAGGGGACGCGGCGGAACAAAAAAACAAGAAGGCCTTAGAAGCGAGGCGCCTCGTTTCGGCGCGGCTAGCGTCGTTCCCCAAGCAGGCGCGCCGCGCAAAAAATAAATAGGAGGAGAGCCGGGTGATGAACAAAAAGAGGGAGAGCTGAAGCCTCGCAAACCTGAAACGGGAGAAGGCGGAACTCCAACCCCGGAGGCGGAAGCCCTGATCAGTTTGCGCGAAAAACGCAATCTTCACTCCCAGGCCTTGTTGTTTAGTTTGCGCGCTTCTGCAGAGTCGCCTTAACTCTGGAGTACCGCGCTCGCGACAAGCTGAAGAAAAGGTGGGCGACAGGTCCGCGTGGGGTGGGGTTAGGTGGCCTGTTGGATTTGTGAACCCCCTCATCCACGCTTCCGCTTTTGAGGCTCGAAAACTCTACTGGGCCGACCGCCTGCGCCTTGAAATCCAAGCAGAGCAGCTTCTAACGTAAACATTAAACAAGTTAAAGCGGCGCTAAAGCTTGCTTCAATCTCGGATGACTTTGAGGGTGTCTTGGGGTGGGTGGGGTGGGATAGTCTTTGCGGCTGTCGTGGGGATGTCGTGGTTTTGGGTTTGTCTCTGGAAGTTTGGAAGGGATGTTGGGGAGAATTGTGGGGGATGTGTTTGGGGATGTCTTTGGGGATGACCCTGCAGCTGGTTTTGGGGGGAGGTTTTTGGGGGTTTCTTTTGGGGCGTTTTTGCGTCTTGGGTGATGTTTTCGGGCCTGTTTTTCAAGGTTGTCCTGGCGGGATGTCTTTGGTTTGGGGATGGCGATGTCTTTGGGGATGTCTCACGGATGTCTCTTAAGTGGGATTTCTTTCGGGAAAGTCTTTTGGGGGGCGTCTTTGAGGGCTGTTTTTGTGTGGCTGGTGATGTAATTAGGGATGTTTTTGTGGCTGCGCTCGTGGATGTCTTTGGGAATTGTCAATGGAGACAGGTATCTTCGGAGTGCGTCTCGGAAGATGTCGTGGGTGTGTGTCTTGGGAAAAAGTCGTTGGGGGAAGTCTTTTGGGGTTGCGCATGTTTGTATCCGGGTTCGTGGCCTCTAGCAGGCTTTTCCAGAGCCTGCAAAGGAGCCTGCGAGAGAGGGCCGAAGCCCTGGAAGAAAGGCGTCCTTGGAAAGCCTAGCAAGGAAAACGCAGGAGTGCGAAAGGGAGGGTTTGGTGCAGTGGGACGTTCCCTGTCATTGGCGTCACCGCAACATGTATATATGCCTTCATATTGATTGAGAAAAGGTATCAGGGGAATGGCAATGATTGAGCAGGGACCATCCTTTCTTGGCCCCCGAAAGGGCTGCATTGACCTCCAGTTTTGATGGCAGCAGCTTGCATGCTTGAACAGGGAATGCAGTGGTGTTCTGGAATTCCCTCACGCTATGCCTTTGGTTGTCCTTGGCGTCGAGCATCACCAGTGTCTCACATCCGTCCTTATGCAGAGATTGCGAAGACTGCAAGGAGCCCGCTAGAGAGGGCCGCAACCTGGGAAGAAAAGCGGCCTTGGAAAGTCCAGGAGGAAAAGCCAAGGAGTGCGCGGGAAAGGCCAGTTCTTTTGCAGTCATTGGGTTGTGGCGTATACCCAGAGCCGGACAGGCCTGAAAATGGTTGACAACGCCCATGAATTGCTCAGTTGCAAGCGTTGGCAAAGCCCACCCTTGGCAAAGCTCGGTCCTCTCGCTTCTCGCCAGTCCAAGCCGGAAGAGAAGGAGCCGCAGCGCTCGAAGCGCCAGGCAGCGGAGGCTCGCCATGCCAAGTTCTCTTGAAGGTAGAGCTGAAAGAGCAGGCAGAGCGCATCACATTGGAGGGGGATGACCGTTCTGATAAGTTTATAAGCATAGTTGAAAGGCTGTCAAATGCTGCAGGAGAATCCTCGCTCCTCTTCGCCGAAGATGAATTTTGCCCTTGCCCCGGAGCTGCATCCAGTCCGATCCCCTCCCATAGACAAGGTTGCTTGGTGAAAACCATGTGTCTCCCGTTCCCAAGCTGGAAGCTGGCAAAGGTTGCTGCAGGCACAAGTTCAGTCCAAGCTTCCTGTTCATGCCAACTAGAAAGCGCGCTTGAGGCACAGCGGGAAGAGCCATGCCGCCGCAGAAGTGAGGCCTTGGAGGGCTTTGTGCATCTCAAGCGCGACATTTGCACTTTCCGAGTGTGTCCCGAGCTTGAGTTTTGCCTTGCGCCCACAGGCTGCTCGCAGCCCTGAACGGCGGCTGGAGGCGGTCCTGCCAGTCACCACCCTGCCAGCGGCTTCGCTGAAACCGGCGGCCCTGCCGGCAGCGGCGTTGGAGAAGTTGCTGTCCACGCCCCCGAAGGAAGCGGCCAAGCAGCGCCCCCGGCCCTCCACTGCCAGCACCCTAGCCCGCCTGCCGGAGCACGTTCGGGCCCTTCTGGCAGAGCCCCGGGAGCTTCGGGAACCGCGGAGCCGAAGCCGAGCTTTGCCGTCGGCTGTGCCATCCGAGCCCTGGAAGGAGCCCCTGCGGCGTTTGCCGGAGGTGGAAGTCCCAGTGCGGGAGTTCCGGGCACCAGTGCCAAAGGTGCCGGAGGTGCCGGAGGTGCCGGAGGTGCCGGAGGTGCCGCAGATGCCCGAGATCCAGGAGATCAGCTCAGACTGCAGCGTCAAAGAGGAAGAGATGACGGAGTCCGAGATGTTGAAGGCGGTGGAGCCGGAGATGTTGAAGACGGTGAACGCAGAGACGGAGATGCGTTCGATGCAGGAGCTTTGGGCAGAGCGGGAGAGGGAGCGCTATGAGAGCAGTGCCAAGGAAGCCTGGCAGCAGGCCCAGCAGATGGCGGCGGCCCTGGCAAGGAGCAATGAGGCGGAAGAGGAGACAGCTCGTGAGAAGCTGGCCGGCGCCACGGAGCGCAGGAAGGCAGCCGAGGACCGAGCCTCACAGGCCGGGTGTGGGCGGCGCGATGTGTTGCAATTGTTCTTCCAATTCCGTGTTCCTGACATACAACTTCCTGCTTCCGATCACGCTGTGCCCATGATGGTTCCCCTGCATAAAGTGAAAGTCGAACAATGGCGGAGTGGCGCTATTGCATGGTTGAGAATGGTTGGCCCCTGCCAACCTTCCGCGCAGGTTGAGACAGCTTTGTCACGTCTTCGAGAGGCAGCGGTCAAGGCAGGGCCAGTGTGAAGCCCCGGGAACCGATTCCGCGGTTGCTTTTGCTATGTTGAGCATGTACTTCTCAGGTTTTTGTATGTTTCAAGCCACGCCACGCCTCTGTGCTTTGCTGCTTTCAACAATCTGTGCCGGATGTGTGGGCATTGGACATTCATTGTTTGCGGTTGCCATGAAAGTGGGGCGAGGCAGATTTTCTCCTATTTTTGTTCAACTGAGATGCCTTTTGTCCATTCCCTGGCAAGAGAGACCCGTGCGAGGTGCAGCGACGCACTCAAGAGCGGCTGAACTCGCTGCAACAGCAGCAGCAGGCTGTCAGCCCGCAGTTGCAGCATAGGAGTTTCGAGGAGCAACATGCTCGCAATGACAGACTCTCTTTGTGGCAATAGGACATTTTTTTTTGATTAAAGCGGGGAGAGGGCATTCTGAATTGTCACCTCGGGCGTACTGAGCTCACCCATTGAGTCGGACCTTGGCTATGTAAGAGCTTCTTGCGCGATTCGTTGTTGCCTTCAATTCCGACTTTCGAGCATTTCAGCATCTCCCTCGCGTCTCTTTGTTCTAGGCGCCTAGGTGCAAGGCAGGCTCCAACGGTTCAGGTTGCGTAGGGCTCTTAGCACCACAAAGCAGCCGCGCCCCGTGCAGGCTGCAGAGGAGGAGGCTGTCCTCCACGAGGCGGAGGCCCGAAAGGCGCGGAAGTGGAAGAAATGGAAGATGCCCGAAGAACATGGAAGTCGACTTTCCTCTTGGAAAGGGTCTTTGTGCACTTCCATGTTAGTTGGTGGCAGAAGAAGTGGAGCGTGAGTTGTTTTTTTCTTAAATAATAAAAACAAATGACAAAAAAACAATGAAAGTCGTTGATGGGTCCACCGCGCTGGGTTTTGTGAGGCCTCCGCCAGAGCAGAGGCGCAGGAGGAGCAGTGCGCGCAGCGGCTGCAGCCAGGGCCCTGGAACATTTCTTTGGTGTGGCTCAAAATTAAACAGGAGGGGTTACGCAGGTTTTGGTCCATGATTCCACTTACCAGGGTTTAATTTTGGTACCGGTTTTTTGAGCCACAGCCTTGGACGTCGACAATTTTGCCGCGTTCCCATGCTGCTGTTTAAGAAGCCCTGATGAAGCGAACCTTTCCAGGGTGTTTTTCCAGAGAAGGACTTGCTCTCAAGTTCCACCCCCAACAACCAGGGCTGTGTTCCAATCCAATGCTCATATTTGCCACCTGCCATTTTTGAAGCGTTTGTGAAAGGAGCCTGAAGCGAGAGCTGGACTCGGATGTGCAGGAGGCGGAGATGCCTTTGAAGAGTGCGCAGGAGGCGGGAGGGAGCCAGAGCGGCGTGTGGGAGGGGTTTCCAGTTCCTTGGGCAACGGCTTTGGATCTGCTCTGGATCACTGGAAATGGATTTGGACATGTTTCATTCATAAGTTTACTCTATTGAATACGGTTCAAAGAAAAAGCCATTGGCTCTGACTCCTTGACCTTGCCGGGACAGGTTCGGGAAATGTTGAAGTTGGGAAGATGGAGCGCTTCTTTCAGAATCCCTTGAAAGGTGGACGAAAAAGCGTCTTCGGCGAGAGGGTGAATAGGAGAAAGCCCCAACTGCAGGTCAACACTTGCAAGCTTTTGAACAGATCCCAACAGTGGTGCCTGGTGTGGGGCAAAGACAATGGCGGCGCGTGACTGCGACTCAACGGATCACGCGTGAGCAGACTATACCCTTCAATTGTTTTGTGTTGGACTGCTTCGCAGATTCGGCCCTCGTGGTTCTTCCTAACTGACTCGGGCAACAAATGTCAAAGTTCTTGCTTGAAGAGTAATGCTACTTCAAACAGCAACGGATTGTATAAGGGTAGGGCACACTTCGCACAACTCTGCGAAGGCATCTTTCTTCTTAAACACAAAGACCAGGGTTGGATATCCCAGCAATGCCAAGGCAAAGCAAACGGAATCGCACGACATGGGAAGCCAGGAAGGTTTTTCGAAACCACAGTCCCCCGTGCCAGGCCATGTTTGCTCACGTGGCCAAGCAGAAGGCTAAGCTTGAAGGCGTGAGTGCAAGCTGATCCCGGTTTTGTGTTGAAAACTGCCACTTGAGTTTTACTCCGGGGATGGCAGACTACTTTACACTTGCTGGCTCTCATCAGCAAATCAGCAGGGTTTTGGCAATGAACCTGGGATCGCCTGAATGGCTTGGGGACATTCCCACATTCTACCGAGAACCAGGTTACGCATTGGAGCCTTTGGCCGATCCTGGCGTGAGCAACGGCAGGGGAAGTGGAGCAGCGCATGGTGAAGGCTCTCCGACAGGCTCGGGCTGCACAGCCGGGGGCCAAGAAGTGGGCCAGAGGCAAGGCAGCCTCACTGTTTGTTTCCCTTTCTCTCTCTCTCTCTCACTCTCTCTTTGCCTTTCTACTTCCCTCCCTTTCCCTCTTCTTTTTCTTTCTTGTTTGCTCTGTCTCTCTGACTCTCTTTCTGTCTCCCTCTCTCTCTCTCTCGCCCCCTATCTATCTGTCAGACGGCATCGTTGTAGGATTTAGCTATTGCTCACACAGGACAACAACTGAAGGGCTGCACAACAAGCGCATCGGACAACATGGAACACGGCATGCTTGCAGTCAGAGTAAGCCTTCCTTCGGAAGCCTCCCTGCGAAGCCTACGGGCCATGTCCTTGCCAGATTCGAAACAGCACTTGAAAGCGGAGAGCTTCTCGTACCGACTCGTACCCATCTTTTTATCATTTTCGTTTGCACGACTCGCGCATGGTTGAGGAAGCAAGCGGCCCAGAGCATCAGTGAGCTTCGCGAGGAAAGCGCCCGCAAGGCAGGAACTGGTGCAGCGATGAGTGGCTGACTTCCTGACCGGCTGCCCGGTGGGCTGAAGGCTAAAATTGGAAGCCGTGGCAGCCTCATTGTTGTGTTTTGGCGGGCCAAAGCGAACTCAAAGCGGTAGTGTGGTGTATGAATGCTTAGATTGTGTAGACTGATTTCGCTACTGTTTGGCACTGGCTCCATCAAGATTACGTGCCTGGGATTGGACACTTGCGTTCGTGGATAGAGCCTGCGCATTCGTAGTGCCTGCTCTGTTCTCTGTCAGCAGAATAGCAACCTCACAGACGAACATGCAGATCACTGAGAGCAGAGCCTTCTGGTGGGAGCCATGAATTTCACAAACTGGCTGGCTGGCTGATGGCTGGCTGGCTGTTCCCTCCAAACAGTTCAGAATCGCAATATTTCAAATTGTGTATTCATTCATTCATTCATTCCTTCCTTCCTTCCTTTCCTTCCTTCCATTCCTTCCATTCCTTCCAGTCCTTCCATTCCTTGCATTCATTCCATTCATTCCATTCATTCCGTTCATTCCGTTCATTCCGTTCATTCCGTTCATTCCATTCATTCCGTTCATTCCGTTCATTCCGTTTATTCCGTTCATTCCAACCATTCCGTTCATTCCATTCCATTCCATTCCATTCCATTCCATTCCATTCCATTCCATTCCATTCCATTCCATTCCATTCCATTCCATTCCATTCCATTCCATTCTTTCAGATTCATTTATTCATTTGTTTGTTTTTCCCTTCTTCTTTTATCCTTTTTTTATATACTTATTTTGTTTTACTTATTCATTTATTGATTGTTATAGTTTTGTTCTTCTTCTTCTTCTGCTTTTCCCCCAGATAGCTGAAAGCTATAGGGGTTCTAACTTCTAATAAAGAAGAGAAACGATTTGCGAGATTGAGGGCTGGGTGCTAGGGGGCATGCAGTTTGGGGTGCTGGTGGAGGTCCTGCTTTGCGAGATTGACGGCCGGGTGCTAGGGGGCATGCAGTTTGGGGTGCTGGTGGAGGTGCTGCTTTGCGAGCTTGACGGCTGGGTGCTAGGGCATGCAGTTTGGGGTGCTGGTGGAGGTGCTGTTTTGCGAGCTTGACGGCTGGGCGGTAGGGGGCAGCAAATGGCGGTTCTCGTGGATGTCGCGTCATTCAGTTTGTGGTGCTGGCGCAGGTGCTGGGGTGCTGTTTGATAGAGGTGCTGGTGATGGTGCAGGCGCATGTGCTGACGCAGGTGCTGTTTTGGTTACTGTATTGCCGGCGGGGCCTAGGGGGTATGCAGTTTGGGGTAGTGGTGCAAGTGCTGTTTTGGTTGTTGATTGAGGTGCTGCTGACCAATTTTCCAGACAACTGAAAGCCATAGGGGCACTAACTTCTAGTGAAGAAAGGGAATCGGTTTTGCGAGATCGACAGCTGGGAGCTAGGGGGCACGCACTTTGGGGTACTGGCGCAGGGGCTGTTTTGGGGTGCTGTTCGGGCTGGTGACAGTACGTGGCGGCAAGGTGCTAGGGGACATGTCCGGCGCTGGCTCTGGTGCTCGGTTGGGGTGCTGTCGGGGCTGCTGTCTTGAGGTGTTGGTGACGGTGCGGGCGCATATGGACGGCAGGGTATCGTGGTTGTGGCAGCATCATGATGCCGTCCGCAGCACCATGATGCTGTTGAACAGATTCGGACGTTGTTGCTGCTCTGAATGTCGTGAGTAATGGTTCGTGGTTCGTGGCTTGTCAGCTGCTGTCACGGCGATGCTGCAGTATGGTTCGTGGGTGTGGTGGCGCCATGATGCTGTCAACATCAGGATGATGCTGAACCTCATTATGCTGTCGCAAGATGACTCGTGGCTGTGGTATCATCATGATGCTGCCTTTACCATCGCCATGATGCTGTTAGCATCACCATGATGCTATCCGCATCATGGTGGTGCTGTCCGCATCATCATCATCATCATCATCATCATAATCATCATCATCATCATCATCATCACCATCATCACCATCATGCTGTCGCACTCATCAGGACGTCGTCTCTGCCTTTTGTCTGCTAGATATGTAGCGCGGAATCGTTCGTGGCTGGTTGCATCAGGGTGATGCTGTCAACATCACCATTATGCTGCTGAACTCATTAGGACGTTGTCTGCGCTGCGCGTCCATTTAGCGCACCATGCTGAGCGGCTGTGGCATCATCATGATGCTGTCAACATCATCATGATGCTGTCAGCGTCATCATGATGCCGATGGAACCATTATGATGCTGCGTCATGAATCATAGCCGTTTTGTGCTATCTGGGGTCTATGCTTGTGTATTTTTTCTAATGAACAAGTTATACACCATATTTGTACATGTATATGTGAACGCACTGGTTTATGATGTTGTCTATGTTTCTATGCCACGCAAGCATGTGCACACAGTCAGTATATAGATGTGCAATATATACATATATATATATAATATACAGATGCGCATAAGATACATATATATATATATGTATATATACATACACGCATCAAACACCTGGTCTATTTGGGGTTCCAAGCACCGGGCCAGGTGCTAGCAGCGGCCCGAGCATCGGAGGAAGCCGCGCCCGGGAGCCCATCATGGCTTCGGGCGTTGTTCGGATAGATGCCAACCTGAAGAAACGCCCTTACCAGACCGTTTTGTTGTTTTCAGAGGAAGGTTGCAGGCCCCACCCAACAAGTTTGAGAAGGCGGGGAATCCCCGATTTTCTGACCAACACCATGTGTAGGCTTTCCCCCTGATCGCTGCAGGCAGCGTGCGCAGACTGCGGTGGAGGCGGCGAAGGGCGAGCGGCTGAGGGACCAAGCGGAGATGAGCGCGCGGCTGGCCAAGGCGGAGTCGCGGGTGGAGCGGACCGACCAGAAGCTGATGCAGCTTGGCGCGTCGTTTTTTTTTTTTTTCTATAAAATATGGATATGTTTTGGGTCCAAGGGAGATGTTCGGCAGGGGTGGTGGGAAGCTTCTCTTATTGCGGAGGGAGTTCGACAGGCGTTGTATGGGTTTCCAACAAGGGAACCAACCGTAGGTGTCCCTCTGCGCTATTGCACGCTTTCTCGTTTACGTCTTTGTAGGGATGCCAACTCTGAAAGAGAGCGGCCGAGGCACTTGAAAATTTCCTGGGCGGCGGATGCACGCCAGAAGTTCACCACGGTCGCCAGAGCTGCTCAGGGGGATTTAGCTGATCAACGAGAAGTGACCAGAAAGAAGCAAGCGATGATGGAGGAGAATGCCAATGCCAAGATTGAAAGCACCAGGCGGTACTCATTGGCGACCTTCGGTTTCCGTGGCATGTTTTAGCCGGCTGATAGGACAGCTTGCATGTGGCTAGTAATAAATGTTTTGCGGCTGGGATAGCCGCTAAGAAGGTACGCTTTTGATTCGGTGACCAACCATCTCATTTGCAGGTCCACCAGTCTGCAGTCTTGGTTGTTATGCTATGACTGGTATGACTGGTATGACTGGGAGTGCATTTTCCTAGAGCACGATGTTTGGGCCATCGGCCATTGAAATCCACCAAGTTTTCCTGCCAGGACTTTAAGCCGCTTGTTCCAGGTTACAGACATGGCTGTTCTCAACCTTCATGCACAAACAGTCTGGCCAACCGGTGACCAGCAGTTCATTTTTAACGCCTATCATACCAACAAAGGGAATCTTCATTTGGGCATTCTACACAGGGAACATCCATCTACTGGCGGGTTCGCAACATCTTGGTTGAAAAGCGTCCTCCCGATCCCCTACACCTTGATTTGTATGTCACACGCGTCCGCCATTCCTGCTTCTCCACCGACCAACACAATCTGGGTGCAACAAATTGGGTGACATTGAGTGCACTCACCTACCAAGCATCGCGAGAAATGAGAACAACCTAGACAGTGTTGACTGTCAGTACTGGACGAACTGTTCCCTTGAGCTTTTGGCTATTCCGTCACTTTGCAGGCAGCTGCTGACAGAGACTCAAGCGCTGGCGGGTGCCGCCAAGGACGCCGCCCGCGCCGAGGTCTTGTCCGCGCGTTTGGGGGCAGAGCAGGCAGCCCGGGACAGCGAGACGCGGCGCCGAGTGGCCGAGGTGGGGACGTTTGGCACGGGCTTTGCACTGAAATTTTTGTCCTCAGCCACTGCCCCTGCAAGATGTGCACCGAGGACAACCAAGTTCTATGACAGTGTGCATGAGTGATGGAGGCCCACAGATCCCTTGAAGGATCCATTCGGGCCGGCCAAACGTCATTTTTAGCCAGATCATTTCAAGAATCTTGACAACATCTCGTAAGTCAGGTTTCTTTTTGGATGTGTCCTTCTTCCGTACCCCACGACACTCGACAGTCGCGAGGCTGGCCTGGCGGAGCAGGAGCGGCTCTGCGCGTTGGAGCGGGAGGCCGCGCAGCGCGAGGCCCGGGAGACCTGCGCGGCGCTGGCGCAGCGGGCCGCCTCTGCGCAGGAGGCGGAGCGGGGGGGGGGGGTTGGGCTGGCGTCTTCCGGGCGCTTTTTTCCCGCCTGCCCCGGCTTTTCCCTCTGGTTTGGCTGATGTTTTTGCTCTTTTTGTTTTTGCGTGGAGCGTGGGAACAACAGAGGTTGGTTTGTGATTCATGATTCGGCTTGAGTTGGTTTAAGCATCGAACAAACATGATGATCCAGTACCCAAAGATCCGAAAACGAAGAACCCAGCGGCTCTCGACAGGCGGGCGCTCGGCACCAGCGGGAGGCGTGGCAGGCAGCGGCGGAGGCGCGGGAGGCGGCGGCGGAGGCGGCGCGCGGCGCCAAGGGCCGCTTGGAGGCGCGGAGGTCCTTTGGGTGGAACAGGGGTGGTTTCTAATCCCTCAAATGGTTGATGGCCTTTCTGGGTTTTGCCTTTAGATACCAGATAGCCTTCAGGTGCTTTGCGTGCTGGTTGAGTTCTTGAGGGCCCTGCTTGTCGTTTTTTGGGTCGTTTGAAGGGAAGCCGCACGTACCGAGTCCGGGAACGCAGGAGCTGCGGGCTGCAGCCCGCGCGGCTGCCCAGGAGGCGCAGAGCTGGGCTCTGGAGGAGGCGGAGGCGGCAGATGGCTTGGAGGCGCGGGGAGGTTTGGTGTCCGAGCCGAGGGCTCAGGGGCTTGGAGGTTTCTTTTTTGGAAGGGGGGGGGGTGAGAGGAATCAACTGCTTCTGATTGACATGCTTGATGATGTCAACTCTTTGATATTGCTTGGGTTGATTTGCTCGGTTTCGGCCTCCGGACCAGCCATGTCATGGCGGAGGGTTCAGGCTTTCCACCAAACATTGTAACACGGGCCAACCGCGTCCTGCTTAAAGTCAATCCGTGCCCGGATTCCAGTTCACCACTTGCTGCGCAGTATGTCACTGCCCTGATATTGGCCTCATGATTTCACCATGAGAAAAGTCACCCCGGAAGTGGTGGGACTTTGAGAACCCCGGAAACGGTCAAAATGACCCTCTGTGGTTCTGTCCCGCGGCCTGATCAAGGCCCAAGAGGAGAGCTTCCTCTCGGAGGTGCGGAACTTGGAGCAAGCGCAGCTGCAGAAGGACAGGCCGACGTACATGGGAATCTGTGGCCACCAACCAACCTCTTTTGAGGATGTTCCTTATCAGAACTCGTAGCCGTTTGGATCAATTCCATGTTCGCAGAACTCAAAAAGGTCTTTGAATGCAACTTGGCGAGAGATGGAGTTAACTGACTTGGAGCAGGCGGATTGCCTGTTCACAGAGAGAGGTCAGTTACGAGCTGCGAGGAAAGCTGCTTAAACTGGTGCCGCGACTTCGTCGCGGTACTGCCGGATCATGAATTGTCATTTACACAAGTCTTTGTGCTTGAAACATGTGAGCGCTCATGTCTTCTAGCTCTGTAGAGTGGCGTGGCTTGACAGCGTTTTGTCACTTCGTGCTCGCATCATCAGACTGTGGGACAGCTGCCAAGCCCGATCACAGGGCCAGTCCAACTGGGCCGCGTTGCTGTATCTCGAGCATGCCGCGACGATTTCTCTTGGATCTTCTTTGGGATCCTGCCGCGAGGCGCCTCTTGGCCTCTGCCAGGACTGCCTCAGCGCCCGATGCGCCGAGCAGCTCCGCGCTGCCGGGCTGGCGGCGGGCTCTCGCCGCTCTCAGGCTGAGGCGCGAAGAAAGGTGTTTCAGCTTTCTTTTGCTGAGATGAAGTACTGGGAGTGAGCCAACTCCCCAGAAAAAATGGTTGTGGCTCATCAAGGAACGGCTTCAGGATGTGTATTTTGCGTAATTTGGGTCTTGCATCGGCCCATTCAATCCTTCAATCAATCGATTGCCAGATGCTTGCGTTTTGAATCCACTCGATGAATTTCAGCCCAACCTGAATCTCTAGCAACCACAGATACCCTCCTGTCCCCTAGCACGGAACCTGACTTTTCGGGGTCCTGGTTTGTTCCCACTATGTCCCACTTTTCCTTTAAGATGGCGTGTGGACCGGGTACCTTCAAAGACCTCCCTCCAGGCGGCGGCCGCGGAGGCGGCCGCGGAAGCGGCGGCGCGATGCCGGGCGCAGGAGCAGCGGGCGGAGGAGTTGGAGCAGCAGGCCCTGGCCGCCGAAGAGGCGGACCCTGGGAGCGTCCGGACGGCACGTCCCGGGCGGGTTGGGGGGGGGGGAGGGTGGGGGGGGGGGGGGATTTTCCGTTCGTGAACGGGGATGATCTCCTGTCCAGGTGGCCATGGAACGTATAGGGTCTAAAGGAAAAAAGACATGGGCCAAGCCGGGAGCCCGAAACGTCAGGTTTCATGTTAGTGCCCCCAATTTTGTGGGGTTCGAGGCCTCAATCAAACGTGATTTATTTCTAGCGTATCTCTTGAAAGGAGCCCTGGACAAAATCTCACGTCTGAATTTGCAGGGGGGTCGTGCCATGGGGGGTGTCCTTTGCGAGGAGGTGGTCTTCCAGGACCTGGACCAGCAGCGGCGCCTGGAGCGCGAGCGCAAGGCCGGCGCGGGGCGGCTGGCGGATACGAAGAAAGGGGCGGAACAGGCGGAGGTGGCGATCCAGGAGGCGATCTGCTGCAGCCAGAACAGCGCCTCCGATGGAAATGGGTTGATTGATGGCTTTGGTGGGTGGGCTGGCTTGGTATATAGGTCGTTTTGGCTTCGGGGTGGAAGGTGGTGGCATGCTTGAATTTTCACACTTCTGGATGGCACATGGGGAGGTGTTCTGCAAGCGTGGAAGGCTAAGGGTCCCCCCCCCTTCCGCGTTGCGGGTACTTTCTCTCATGCTAGCTCGGTTGGTCCGTTGCTGTCCCGGCCTGGTTCAGCATGTGGTTTAGTGTTTGCCACCTGCCCAGGCGTCCGGGAGCTCTACCGATATCTACAGCAGGTCGCCCAGGATGGCGCAGTGTCGCCGGATGGGAAGAACTGCCCCAAATGCCGCATCAGCCGCTGGCCTGAGCTGGCATTGTTGTTTTTCTCCGGTCGGCCATACTTTTGCACTTGAGGACGTGACTCGAGAACTCCAATTCAGCGAAACCGTATCGAAGTGCTTCTTTTTCTCCACGCCGCAAAGAAAAGATGGGATTGAAGCTTGGTTGGGGGCGGAAGATTGTAAGGCCACACGCCAAGCTCCAACTTCTGCCAGTGCTGCGGGCAGAGTCTTGGCACCCCGGACCGCATGGCAATGTCGGGGGGCTGAGATTTCTGGTGGCGTGAGAGGAAATTCGTTTGGGATACGGACTGCACCTGCTACATTAACTACACTGACTGCACTGACTGCACTGACTGCAGCTGCATCAATCACTTGCATGTTGAATGTGCAGCATTTCCGCAAAGGGTTGGCCGTGTTGGGACATGAAGAAGGCTTCGTGCCGGGTTATGAATTGAAACCGCGGTGGTGGATCGGACACGAGCCAACCCTGTCTAATTCAATCGCTTTGCAGGATCATTTCGTTTTTGGCTCCATGGAAAGATGGCCCATGCGGCCTTGGCAAGATTTGCGCGTGATGCTCCCAGACCCCAAGCAGGTCGCGGGATCCATTCAAAAGACCAGTGGAGCTGCCTTTGTCCACACCCCCTGCCAGCCTCATGTGCAGCTCAACATTAACATCATTGTTATGCGGTTGCGTTGGACATCGGCAGTATTTCCGAGCGCAAGGTCACAAGTGCCGTTGGCACGAGGATGGACATGTTTCGTGGTGCAGGGCTGATACAATTCATGGAGCCGGTGTTGAGACAGGGCGATGGAAGACATGGAAAAGACGTTCCGCAATCGTCAAGGAACGGATGTCACCCCTCCAATCCTCCAACGTGTCGGGCCCCAGGCGCGAGGCGAATGCGTGCAGGGCTTCTGGTGCCACCAGTCAGATCAACCCAATGCACTTTCCCAGCGACAGTACTCGATCCGATCCGCGAGCCAACCCCGAGGTGTCTCGGGCTCACAGCCAGCCGCGAGGTCTGTGGGGTCATGTCGCTGAAATTGCAGAAGCGGCTTGCCGCGTCCATCCTGGGATGTGGCAAGAAGAGAGTGTGGTCAGGGGCTCAAATTGCGGGTTGCCCTCTGCAGCCGGTTGGTCAAACAGCAGTTGAGCGACATACAGTCACGGAATTATTCACAGTCATCCTTGCCGGCTAAGCAAAGACGGCGATTTGTTCTTTCCCTCTAGAAATTTCCCTTCTCGCAAACCCACCCGAACAGAACACTATCCCAAAACCAAGCCCCCAACCCACCCTCGAACCATGCCTCCAAGAAGTCCACCCTAAATCCATCCTACTCCAACCCTAAACCCAACTTAAACCCAGCCCAAACCAGCCTAAACGAAAACCACAAACCGTACGAATCACCAAACGCAACCCTAAGCCCACTTGATCCACCCACTGTAATCCAACCCTAAACCAACTCTAGACCAACCCTAAACCAGCACTAAACCCAACACTAAACCCAACTAACGTATCCCACCCTAGACGCACCCTCCGACCCTAAGCCCCGACGTCACCCTAAACCCACCCACTCGAGCCCGAAGAGACTAACACCTGCCCTACTCGTCAAAGCCACACGCCCGCGAGTGATTCTGGTGATGCTGGCTTTGACCCTCACCAACTCTAAATCCATCGTAAGCAGACCCAACTTGCATAAGCCAAGCCCAATCCAACGGCCCACCGGTAATGCTGCTGTTGACGATGCTGATCCGACTTGCTGAACCATGATTTGCTTTTTGTTGACAATGCTGCAACATACAGTGTTTTGGCCCACCAGCGAAAACCATCGGGAACAAACACCCAAATCAAGTCCACAAACTCTAAACCCATGCCCTATATCGAGACTCGTGTTGTCATATAAGCAGTGACTTTGCCAGCCGCTCGACTCAGGCTGGACCCGAATGAGACGAATGAGCTGTCCATGGCAAACTCGCGCTTCAACATCAGGACCTGCACTCTGCTCCAGAGAGTGGCAGTGCGGAGATTGAAGCCGTGATAAACATGGCAAGAGGAGAGCAGGAAGGTACAGCACAGAAAGTGAATATAGTGCTTGATGTACCAGTTCGGCATGCTTCGTTGATGCTGTGAGTTTGTGCTTGGCAGGAAGATGATCAAGGATGGCCTGATCATTCGCAAGGCAGTGACCATGCACTCGCGGTCTCGCGTGCGCAAGAACTTGGAAGCCAAGCGCAAGGGCCGCCACATGGGCACGGGCAAGCGCAAGGGTACCCGTGAGGCTCGTATGCCAACGAAGGTGTTGTGGATGAGGCGTCAGCGCGTTCTGCGCCGACTTCTCCGCAAGTACAGGCAGCAGAAAAAGATCGACAAGCGCATCTACCACTACTTCTACCGGCATGCCAAGGGTAACTGCTACAAGAACAAGCGCGTGCTGATGGAGGCCATCCACGCCAAGAAGACTGAGAAGATGAAGGAGAAGGCTCTGATTGAGCAGTCGGAGGCCCGCAAGGAGAAGGCCCGCATCGCGAAGGAGAAGAAGCTGCAGCCCCTTGTTGGCAATAGTCGTGTTGTCAACATGAGGCCAACATTCAGCCTGATCAGGCAAGTGTTGTCTAGTGTAACCCTTGTTGCATCGGCAGCTAGCAAGATCAAAGTTATGTGAGGTGAGCTTGAGCCATGTTTGCCACCTAGGAAGAAGGCAGAGTCTGCCCGCACAGAAGAGGATGGCGGATGGCAGCAGCAGAAGAAGCGTTAGATTCGATTCATGCGACATCGATGACCTGGCACACCTTGCACTTCTTGGCTGCGGCTGTAGAAAGAAGCGTTTCCGCGGTGGTTGACGTCAGCATTCCTTTCCTGCCTTTTTTTGGGAGGGACCTTTGTGTGTGTGTGTGTGTGTGTTCTGCAGTTTCAGCCAAATAGGTTGATGAGTTTTGGGATAAGGCGGTATGGGAAGGCTCTTGAGCCTACGGAATGATTCCCTTGAGAGCAATCTGATCTTTACTCCCTTCAACTGCCTGTTTTGTACCAGGCAAACTGCCCAGGGGTCTCTTTCAAGCACGTCGAGTCCAAAAGGAAGAGGCTCTTGTTTGGGCCCTCCAAATGCCAACTTGTACTCGAATCTAACGGACACTGGCAGCCGTGGAAAGGGACGCGTACAGTGGTTCGACCAGATGATGCTTCAATTTCAGACTGCTGGATTTGGACAGATCCCCCTAATTTTTCTCCGCCGGAGCGGGGTTGGCTATCATCGCAGACGCCTCTCATGGATTTTGCTAGCTACTGTCACCGTGGCTCTGGGCGCATAGTCATAGTTTCATTGTTATGCTGATCTCCGACCAAGTCGCATGATTCCGGTTGGTGGCCGCGATGTGGATAGTTTTGGCAGTTGCAATGGATGATACGTGTCCGCAGGGAAACATTTCTGGCTCTGTGGAAGTGTGTGTCCCAGCCTGCTGCCAGCTGCCTCAAGATGTCGTTAAAGCTGCAAAAGCGGCTTGCCGCGTCCATCCTTGGATGCGGCAAGAAGCGTGTGTGGCCGGGGCCCAAATGCATGGATGATGCGAAGAGTTGGTGCTTGTCATTACACACCAAACTGCCAAGGGGCTCTTTCATGCTCACAATCCCTAAGATGCTCTCACATAAGCAGTGACTTTGCTGGCCGCCCGACTCAGGCTGGACCCAAATGAGACGAATGAGCTGTCCATGGCAAACTCGCGCTTCAACATCAGGACCTGCACTCTGCTCCAGAGAGTGGCAGTGCGGAGATTGAAGCCGTGATAAACATGGCAAGAGGAGAGCAGGAAGGTACAGCACAGAAAGTGAATATAGTGCTTGATGTACCAGTTCGGCATGCTTCGTTGATGCTGTGAGTTTGTGCTTGGCAGGAAGATGATCAAGGATGGCCTGATCATTCGCAAGGCAGTGACCATGCACTCGCGGTCTCGCGTGCGCAAGAACTTGGAAGCCAAGCGCAAGGGCCGCCACATGGGCACGGGCAAGCGCAAGGGTACCCGTGAGGCTCGTATGCCAACGAAGGTGTTGTGGATGAGGCGTCAGCGCGTTCTGCGCCGACTTCTCCGCAAGTACAGGCAGCAGAAGAAGATCGACAAGCGCATCTACCACTACTTCTACCGGCATGCCAAGGGTAACTGCTACAAGAACAAGCGCGTGCTGATGGAGGCCATCCACGCCAAGAAGACTGAGAAGATGAAGGAGAAGGCTCTGATTGAGCAGTCGGAGGCCCGCAAGGAGAAGGCCCGCATCGCGAAGGAGAAGAAGCTGCAGCCCCTTGTTGGCAATAGTCGTGTTGTCAACATGAGGCCAACATTCAGCCTGATCAGGCAAGTGTTGTCTAGCGTATCCCGTGTTGCATTGGCAGATAGCAAGATCAAAGTCATGTGAGGTGAGCTTGAGCCATGTTTGCCACCTAGGAAGAAGGCGGAGTCTGCCCGCACGGAAGAGGATGGCGGATGGCAGCAGCAGAAGAAGCGTTAGGCCGCTCGGCGGGCTTTTTTGCCCAGCCATTTTGAACGTTTGTGTCAAACATGCCTCGAGGGGGCTGTTAGGAAGGCTTTTAGGAAGGCTGCTTGCATTATGTATCACGCAACAAGTTATTTCAATGCATTTGACGTGGCCAAGGCTTTCATACAGATTGCAGCACAAGCCCGGCAACTGGTGGCAGCAGAGCGCAGACGGAAAAAGAGCAGCTGTTTTATTTGATCTCAGTTCCTCCATGACTTCAGGAGCTTGCTTCTTAAAACTCGGAGACAACAACTCATAGCTTATGATTCACACCGACAAGAAACCAATTGGCCCTAGCAGCGTGAAATTGAGCTCTGTGCAGAAGACATATTGTTGCGGCCTCCTTTGAACATGCACTTCATGCTGATCTTGTCTTGCTTCAACACAGAACGATTGGATAGCTGCCTTGCAGGTGAACATGGATGGGTTCGCAGGGCACTGGCTCTAGACGTAGCTCCCTTAGTGCAGAGGGGGAGACAAAGATGTCGTTAAAGCTGCAAAAGCGGCTTGCCGCGTCCATCCTTGGATGCGGCAAGAAGCGGGTGTGGCCGGGGGCCAAATGAATGTATGCGAAGAGTTGGTGTTGTCATTGTACACCAAACCGCCAGGAGCATATTTCATGGCCAAAGCGTGTTCCCCCCACAATCGCTAGGATGCTCTCACGTAAGCAGTGACCCTGCTGGCCGCCCGACTTAGGCTGGACCCGAATGAGACGAACGAGCTGTCCATGGCAAACTCGCGCTTCAACATCAGGACCTGCACTGAGAGACTGAAGCAGGCTAGGTAGCGAACAGCAGCGCGGAAAGTGTAGTGCTTGATGTACCAGTTCAGCATGCTTCGTTGATGCTGTGAGTTAGTGCTTGGCAGGAAGATGATCAAGGATGGCTTGATCATTCGCAAGGCAGTGACCATGCACTCGCGGTCCCGCGTGCGCAAGAACTTGGAAGCCAAGCGCAAGGGCCGACACATGGGCACGGGCAAGCGCAAGGGTACTCGTGAGGCTCGTATGCCAACGAAGGTGTTGTGGATGAGGCGTCAGCGCGTTCTGCGCCGACTTCTCCGCAAGTACAGGCAGCAGAAGAAGATCGACAAGCGCATCTACCACTACTTCTACCGGCATGCCAAGGGTAACTGCTACAAGAACAAGCGCGTGCTGATGGAGGCCATCCACACCAAGAAGACTGAGAAGATGAAGGAGAAGGCTCTGATTGAGCAGTCGGAGGCCCGCAAGGAGAAGGCCCGCATTGCCAAGGAGAAGAAGCTGCAGCCGCTTGGCAGCAGTTGTTGAGAGTGGATTATTTTATGATTTACTGTGCGTTCTGCATTCAATTTGTGGCGCGTTTCATTCGCCCCTGCTTTACAATAAGAGTGAGTTCAGTGTCATTGTGTTGTGGATCCCTTTCATTTTGCGTTCATTCCAGGTCCATTGGAAAAAACTCAGATGGCCACTATCATACAGTGAAGCCCGTCTTTCATTCTTCCGTGAAAGCAAAACTATTCCACTCCTTTCGAAGAGTTCGACCATGCCAATACATGGGGCTAAAAGCTGCTCCCGCCCCATCAGTGCTCACCATGCCATATCTATTCCTGACAGACTGCGGTGACTCTTGTTGTAAATCGGAAGAAATCTGGGTTTTGAGCTGGCTCTATTTTTGTCCTGAGGGGCTACCATACGTGTTTTTGGGGCGATTCAGTCATGGCATCTTCGCTGCCGCATCTGTTCGTCTCTCGCAGGAAGAAGGCCGAGGTGGCGCGAGAGGACGAGGGCTGGCAGCAGGCGAAGAAGCGCTGATTCAGTTCGCAGCTCGGCGAGCGAATCGCAGCTTGGGGGGAGCTGACGGGTGGTGGTTGTTTCAAGTGGGCGAGGGCTGACAGCAGCTGGGGAGACATGGCAGAAGCAGCAAAACAAGCGAAGTCTGGATTGATCGGACGACTGGCAGGCTCTTGATGGAATTTGCGCAACGGTGGGTCAGGGCCTGTTGATTTCTTCAGTGTTCTTCTTTTGTGAAGATGACATGCGCCGAGGTAAGACCCGCTTTGAAAGTGGAGGCCTGCTCCCGGGCCAAACGCTGGCGCAAGCAAGGAGAGCCAGACGCGCAGAGGAAAAGGGGCGTGGGGGAAGTTGTCGTTTTTGCTGGCCAGAGTGTGTCGTGAACTGGCAACCAGTTTGTTTGCCTGCAACACGTGCAGATGTGCAGCAGCCACACTGCAGCCCACACATTGCAATTCCAGCGCAGCACGAATCGCAGATGCGGCCACTCAAAACTCCCTGTCCAAATTCAGTCAGTACGTGTTGGCACTCAGTGCAAGGCTGTGCAAGGTGTTTCAAGTTTCAAACAATTGCCAAATGGGTTGTGAAAAGGTGTACGCGACAACGCGGAAGCCATGCAGAAAGGATGGGGCTACACATGGATGGAACGTAGTGGTCCCACAGGCTCGCTTCTGGCGCCTTTGTGGTCGGCCACGGTGGAAGCTGTTTTTGTTGGCCCCGCGTATGCTCCTCTTTTGCTCGCGTGTTCAAGCCCGCATGAGCCCAGGCGACCTCGACACTCGCGTGCGCCAGCTTTTGCGACGGTGAATGCCACGCTCCAGCCCAGTGAGGACCTCTTTGCCTTTTCGGACGAAGTGTGCTCGCCCGAGTGTGCTGGCTGGCGCGACCTTCGCCGCTTTGAGCGTGGCGCTGCAATATTGCGCGAACGTCCGCGTGCGCCTCGGGAGGCGAAAAACCCAAGGTTGACGGTGCGCGGCACTCCTGTGCAAACCGTGGAGCATTTCGCCCGTGCCGTCGCCAGGGCACACCCCAAGCACGATTGGAGCGCCCACTTGCAGAGCGCGTGCCTCTGCCATTGCGCGCGCCTGGAAGTTGGCCAGCGTGATATGCTAAGTCCTTGAGGCCAGGCCAGCATACAAAAAGAACAAACAAACAAACAACTGGAGGACCGTTTCAGTGTAAATGAGCGGTCAGCTGTGCCATGTCCGTGCCTGATGCATCTGGGCCCGAGTTTGTTCCCTGTTCTCAGTACGCCTCCCAGCCTGGGTGGTGCAGTGACACGGGGCTTCCACGCTGCAAAATGTAGATGTTTGCCCTGCTTGCCTTCCATGCTTGTGCCTCGCCCGTTCCCGTGCCCATGTGCAGCGCATGCAATGCGCTTTTGCAATGATCCTGTGCCTGTCAAGCATGTGACTGGCGGTGTTGCTTCGGCTCGTTGATTTTTTGGTTGTGCGGCGCTAACGATCCTGGAGCTTCTGCAGCACCCAATCTTGTTGGGCGAATGCCTCTGCAAGCCGAGAGTCCTCACACTTGCAGTGCTGCCCCCCCCCCCCCCCCCCGCAGAGGGCTACGTCCCTGAGCTTAACGCAAAACGCTTTTCGTGCCACTCGTGGAATCATGAGATCGGCGAAAGTCAATGGCCAACCCGTCCCGTCCTCAATGTCGATTCATGGGCGTTGCCATGCGCACCGTGCCACACCGAACAACTGGACACGCGTCCAAAAAATAGGGGCGACAAATTGGGCGAACTCGGGCGGTGAACCGCCGCAAAAAAAGGACAAAACACCCAACAGCGATGCCCTGACACACCTGTTTAGTTTCTGCAATGCAACAATGCGCGCAGTCCGAATGCCGATGCTATGCCGGGGGGCACGGGCCTCCGTCGCCATTTTTTGTTCAAAGTGGTTCGACCATTTTTTCCATAGGCTCGAGTTTTGTTGGACTTGTCATCCAAAAAGGCTTACTTGTTCTGGGCTCGTCTCTTAGCTATGCGATCCGTGGTTCCCTTCGCACAGGGAAAACCTATCCCGGACATCGCCGTCAGACAGTCACAGCTCGCCCTTCGACACGGGACCCGGAGCTCAGCTGGTTTGCTCAAGTTGGCGTAGAATGTGTGGATGGCCGGCAGGCTGTCAGTCCGGGGAGGTGTGCTGCGTCGACACCACGCTTGTCTCAGCCTCGGCGTTACCACCGGTGCGCCATATGGCCATGGCGGAGGTGCCCGATACGCAAGCTGTGCCTCTGCAGCATCAACTGATTGTCGGCTCCCGTCCCCATTCGGATGAAGCTAGTTTTGTCGAATGTTGCGTCAAGTGCATAATGTTGCGCCGTGCATGAGCCCTTTGTGTAGCTCACGAAGAAGGCGGTTTCGTTTGTTGCCAGGGCCATTCACCTACCTGTCTCGGGGATCCAGTTGCCGCTTCCTACGTCGGAGCAGTTGCCGCAGCCATCACCACAGGGCCCCCAGCCTCATGCCGGCTGGCGCGCGCAGGCAAGCTCTGCTGTCAGAGCCGCTCGCGAGCTGATGCCGCCTTTTTGCAGCAGCTGGTCAATCCCAGGAGTGCCTGACCAGTTCCTTACGAAACGCGCGCAACGGAGCAGCGCCTGGTCCCAGTGGGTTGACCGGATAAATTTTGCGAGTAATGCTGGATGACGATGAGTCCTCCAATATTGCTTGGAGAGTCGGGGGGCGGCTCAGAGCCGATGTCCCAAACACAGTGGCTGTCGGCTTTGGACTGGGCGGCTTGTTTGTGCGGGGGTTAGTTGTTGGCGATCTGTTGTGGCGGCTTGTGTCCAGCAGTTTGCCGACCACTTCGATGTAGCACACGTTGTCGTTCGGGCGCGGAAACCTTGGCCCACACGTTGCAAGTTCGCACAGACACCTTTCCAACCACAACGGTCCTGTCTGTTGATTGGCGTTCTTTACGTCCGCATGTGGTATGGGTCCCCGTCATTTTACGTGGAGCAAGATTGTGTGGACTAGCCATGCATTTTTTCTGTCGCACCTTTTTGCGACTGCCCGAGTGTGGAAAGCAGCCGCAGCTGAGCCGCCAGGCCTTGCGGACATAAGACATAAATGCTCCGTGTTGCCATTTCCTAGCGGAGCTTCGGGCCCCAGCTTTGGCAGTGACGCTCCCCCCTGCTTTCGGGGTTCTGTTTGCGTTTCTCTTGCGTTTGTTTGGGGTGTGCCAGTGGAGCCTGGAGCAACCTTGAAAACAGGGCGCCATTGTGCATATCTGGAAGCTGGCCAGTGTAAAAACAGTGTTTTGCGACTGGCGCGACACTTCCCCAGTCGGGAAGGGAGGGGTTGCTGAGTTGACCGTTGGTTTGCCCCTGGCCGCGGAGCACCGTCAGCTCGGACAGGGCTGACGAGGGGTGGTGTCAACCGCGACCTGCACGCCGCCCC